ACCCCATATGGTCCCTTCAGGACAGTCTTATTGGAGGGATTCAAGATGGCTGCCACAGCTACTCCACCTCCAATTAAAGTAGCTTTAAGTTACTCAACAAACCCTGAGCATRAATGCATCTTGTACGATGTAAATGTGGCAGCCATCTTGGATCTGAGTGCTTGACCTTTAAATTTGCRTTGTTTTATCTAACGCATTATCTTTTCTTATAAAGCACTTTGTAAAACCGCTGAGATGTCCTGTAATTAATAATACACGATGCTGATTTGTATCAAAATCCCCGTGCAGCCAAYAAGCAGAGTGCCATGTCACTGGACGGCTTCCAGGTGTACCTGTGCTCCCAGGAGGGCTCCATATTCAAACCTGAGTACCTGGAGCTCCAACAGGACATGAGTCAACCGCTCAGCCACTACTTCATCTCCTCCTCGCACAACACCTACCTCCTGGAGGACCAGCTCCGAGGACAGAGCAGCCTGGAGGCTTACATCCAGTGAGAACTAGTGGATGCTGCTGTAGAGGGTTAAAAAGTTAGAGCGTTAAAGGGGGACTAAGACCCTCTGAGTTGTTTTATAACTTTAAAGTGCGTGTGACATGTATCATCCAAATACAAAAAGTCAAAGAAAATATCTTTATAATTAAGAAACRTGGCTTAWTYCARATGATTTTACAGATTTTGTCACATAATTTGCATCTTTTCTTTTGAACTTGGCTCAACCGAAGTGAAACATGAAGTGACGTCAAAGGGGAACTCTTTAAGAAAATTAACTTTCTGGTCTTTATTTATTAAAACAATATTACTTGAACTCTGACTCTTCTTCATCTCTAATTCAAAGTAATCTAAAGAAACATCAGATTTTTCTCTACGGTTTGTTATCAGCCATTTTATCAAAGCTCTGCTCACATGCAGACATCACTTCCTGTTACTTCACATATAAATACCTCAACAACTGTTCATCTCAGCAGCGATTTTTTTTTGCAACATGTTATCAATGTTATCTTTCTAAAAATGCATTTATATTTATTACAACACTTGGAGGTCACAGGCACTTTAAAGTATGGGCTGCCGTTTGTAAAGTTACACAGTCAAAAATTACCACCAATATTTTTGTTTTATTTAGCCTTTTATAAGTAAAAAAACAGATTTGTTTTTCAAAGTCAGTTTTTCATCATATGATTCATACATTTATAATTGTCATAGCTTATAAACTAAATATTTAAC